TTCAAAATGTTTATCATGTCCCTTGGATGGGAGACCTGTAGATGGAAATGTTCCTTTCTGAATATGGCTTGTAGGTAAGATTTCTTAGAGAACAAACAGATAGATCAAAATCAGAGGTCTGAAAGAAAAGAAAAATTACTTTTGTTTTGATCAGGTTTTGACCAGAAGAGCTGTGGAACATTTCCACCTTTACCAGAAACACTTCAAAGAGTGAGTATGGACAGCTAGATCTGAGATCAGAGAGACAGGCAATATTTAATCCCAGAGGTGTTTCAGCCAGGCTGATAGCATTGTACAGGAGGCGTAGGAGATGAGGAATTGTCCAGATGTTATATTTTTGTATGAAAATTCATACATAACTCATGCAGGGGAAAGTACATCTTTAATATTCAACTGCTACCTGCTGTAGCAGGAGGGCTCCCCATACGACAAGGAGCATCCTCAGTGAGATTACAGTACTGAATGTTAATGCTGGTGCTCAGAAATGAAGCAGCAGGCAGTTACTTTGAAGTAAGTTGGTGGATGAATTTACTGCATGCTAGCTGTTTTTTTCTCATTATCAGTGAAAGTTGGCTGAGCTACCCTGCTCTCAGAGTGTCTCCCGGCACTGCAAAATGAAGGAGAGCAGCAGAGCTCAAGCTGTGCAGCTCTGAATGCCACACTCCTCAAATGTATAATGAGGTGTTAACTGCATTATGATCATGAAGCAGTAGTAGATACATGCCAAAGATGTGAAGCAGAAGAATGCTTTTAGATTATTCATGATCTATTTACAGCTCTGCACTATTTTCTATGATATAAAGCTTAAAGTGTCAAAAAGTGTCCTACAATATAGAGATCTAATTCTAAAATGGTATCTTATAAATATTAACAATAACTTCGTATCAGATGATGTCAGTGTCTAAAAGCATACCCAAACTGAGCACCAAATATGAATATGCCTTTATCCTACATAATTTTTTTTTATCAAGGCTATCAATGACCCCTTTTTTATAATGGCAAATGCTCTTAAAGAGAGAAAATATTCATTCTTTGACACAAAACAAACCTTCTAAGTGATGATACTCTGCAGTTGTGTGGAAACATGGAGATCAGAAGCTGGTTTTGAAAGTGTGTGATAGTTTTGGTAGGATGAATTACATTGTAGGTCATTGGCGTTTTTCAGCTGCAAGTAATGAAGCACCAAACTGCCAAGCTTTTTCTATAGGAAATAAAGTATCTTATCTAGGAATGAAGAATGCTTTCCTCTTGGAATAAATGCCATTGTTCACTGCTGGAAATTCAAAGCATTCTGAACTTTTGCCTCCTATTATTCAGTATTTATTGGCAGACAGATGTCATGCAAGACAAAAAGCAGTTCTTCTTTCTATACTGTACCTAAGCCATGAAGAAATATCATTTATCTCCTCCTTTTTGTGAAGTATTTCTGTGTTCTCTCCTTTGCACATTTGAAACTACGTACTTGGCTAGATGTAAGCTGGTCTTACCTCCCATCAGTCCAAGTTGCTGAATGTCACAATGAATCCAGAGAAATATCTCTTCACCAATTTTAATTTTCACCACAAACACCAGTAAAAAAACCCAGTAAGTCCAATCCAGTTACAATAAAATAATCTTTGCATTAACGTTAGGAAAACCCCACCACATCTAGAAATTGATCTTTTACCACTTCTTCTCAAGGCAACTACTTTTTGTGTAAAGAATCCAGGCCCTGGGGTTGATTTCTAGGACCTCTCTTTAGCTGTAGAGTGATGGCATCTGCTTTTGTAAGAAGGAAGGCAGACCTGAAACTGACCTGAAACCTGAAATTTCCCTTTTGGCTACCATTACTAGAAGTCCCTGAAGAGCACTAGATTGAGGCAGAGACAGAAATGGAGCCCACAGAGGTGAGCTGCAGGGACAGCTGTCAGTTCTGAAAATGATTATCTGTGTGATGATGACTTGTACTATGTCAATTGTTTCCAAGTGGATATTTAAGTATTTCTGAAAAGCGACAATTTAATTTGGAGTGGTTGGTGGAAATGATGACAAGAAGCACATTTCCTTTATTCTCTGCCACTTTCTCAAGAGTAACTCTTGTCTGAGCTTGGTGTGTCTGTGCTCAATCATATATCCTGTTAGACAAACTCTCAAATTATTTCTGTTCACCAGAATGATACTTTCACAAAATCATGTGTAATTATCTCTAGCTAATGACTTATAAATACATATTAAATGCCAAAGAAATGTTCCAATTTTAACAATAAAGTACAGACTAAGAGAATACAGGTGTAGTTTCCCAAAAAGGATGTGAAGACAAAGCTGAGTTTTGCATTGAAACCCTCTACAGTTAATGGAAAAATCAAACCTCTGCTTTATCCTACTGCAGTAATGAGCTGCAAGTTGCAGCCTACATGAAAATGTAGATGCCTGTCACATTGTCTAATTTTCACTTTTTCGTCTTCATAGCTTATCATCCAGAAATCCTGGTTTTCCCTCTCGCCTTGTCGGTCAGCCGTCAAAGCCTAAATACATCTAAATAACAGATTAAAGAATTTCCTTGAAACATTAACAATGTTAATTAACAATACCTTTCATTCATTTTTTGTGAAATCCTACATTTCTCTAGTGTTATTATTTTTGTTGCTACACACACACGTAAAATAGGGTTTTTCATTTGTTGTGTGTTTCAGCTTTATTTCCCACCTCAAATCGTAATCCATTTTACCTGGGTAAGAATTATATATAATATAATTATATATAATACTTATATATATATATATAAGTGCCTTTACCTCCAGTTTTCCAAAAGACTACAATTATTTTATATCAGTATTTTTCAAGCCAGTGAACAAATGCATTTTTTAAAACAGTATTTCAAGGAAACAGAAAACATCTCAACTTAAAGAAGAAAAGTTCTCCCTGATTGCAACTCAAGCATTTTGCTGTTGCTCTGATGTGACCTTCCTGCTTTGCAGAAAATATTCTGAGCACTTACAATTTTACAAATAACATTATTAATCATCCATATTGTTGTAGCACCTAGAGCAGAGAGATGTGTTGCATTGTGGGAGGTGTTGGACAAGGGATCATTTCTGACGGGGAGCAGATGAACTCTCTATCACAGCAAGAACATCTGGTGCAGAAGCGGCTGCTGCTATGCAAATAACACCAATAAAAATGGAAATAAGACAGACAGAAGACCAGTTTCCCAGTAAGACTGTTCCAGAGTGCTCTTCAAAAACTCATCTGTCTTTAAAAGTAGGGCCTTGCATTCATTTTTGCTGACAAATAAGAATTGCATCGTATGGGAGCAACAGAAACTGAATGCAAGTGATGCCAGAGCAGCAATGAAATGGGAGGCTGCTCCCATATTGCCCATTTGGAGAATGTAATTGCATATGGGCACAAATTGCAACTTGATCTATGTATCCAGATCCTCTGTTGGTTCTAATCCCTCTAGACCACTAAAATATGTATTGTCAGTGTGAGGTGACAGCTAGGGCCTTTGAAGATACTGAATTCTATGTCTACTTTGCCCTTCAAACTGCTGTACTTGGGTAACCCTTTTAACTGAGTTCAACATGACTCTGAGAGCTGCACAGTAAAGCTCATAAACAGACATGGTCAGTTGCACAACCATTTTACACCAGGAAATCCATCTCTTTGCAGTGAAGTCCAATTTTTCTTTGGAAGAAAGAGTAAAAACGGATTTTTTTTTTGTTTTCTTGTTTGTTTCTTTAGTAGTGATACATTTTTCTTCTTAATAAAATGCCTTATCTGCAAAAACATTAGCAAGCAGAGAGGAAGAAGCAAAATAATATCATATTCCCAAAGGGCTAATATAATCCCATGCTATTAAAAAATTAAATCCGACCATCAGCTCCAGTCCAGATGCCCAAGTTAAATGCAGTAAGGTACTGAGATTCCAGGGACTGTCCAAAATCAGACTGCATCAACTTTTGTACTAGCAACAGAACTGACTTGGAAAGTACTAGAAAATAGTTCATGGCTCTCCTGATAGACGGTCATTTTAAAGGCTTTTCATTTCCTATTTAACGGAAGTTCTGCATGTTAAATTTTGAAAACAAAACAAATGGAAAAATGTATCTACAAAGAATCCCATTAGCTATGTGGTCAATTTCTTTACCACTTCAAAAAACAGTGCAAAGGGTTCACAGATCAATGCCCTAACCACTTAACAAAGAAAAGTTTGCAATTTTCTGGGTTAAGCTCTTCACTGAGTTCAAGCAACCATATCTGTGTGTAAAGTGCTTAGAGGAAATAATATCAATTTCCCTTTATCTCTGGAAAGGGGAAAAAGCCCTCCTTACAAACTGTAAATGTTGGGAGGAATTGCTTCTTGAAGTGAGTAACCCTGGAACTTCATGTAAGAAGCCAGTAGCAGAAAAATTAAGCAATGGAACAAAGGAAGGTCTAAAAGTGAGGCCAAGGCATCTTTATTTCCCCTTGAGTTCATCTGGGGAGCTGGCCAGGAAGCTGCTGCACTTGAAATAACCATGAATCCATAAAAGGGATAGAAAATGTCCAGATGGGTGTTGCTGCAGGTGTTACAGACTCCAAAAGACCTCGCTGGTGGATGTTAGTGGGAGAGAATGGTGGTTTGCCAGAGGGTGCTCTGGGATAAGAAGGCAGTCTACACTGACAAAGATATTACACAAGGCACACCATAACTTCACAGTGAATGATAATATTAAAAAAAACTTCAGTGTCTCCTGGTAGGAGCAGTGGTCTCAGTGATTTCCTTGGATTGCCTTCACCTGACACCAAGAGGGTAATGAAACCTCACAAAGACAATGTTACAAGGGTCTCGTTGCTTGTACCTTTTTCCCCCCCATGCATGGCAGAAAATTATTTATTTGTGTGCTCATCAGCATCTGTGACAGGGTGAACATAACCCCTCCTTTAGGCATAACTCCAGTATCACCACTTGCACCACGTGTCCAGCAAGCATCCTGCTACACACACATCATTGTCCCGGGTACAAAATGAAATCTTACCTATGACTTTTCCTAGGAATAGTGCCTTTGGGGAATTGAACTGAATGTCAGATGTGGCTGGCAGGCTGTAACTTGTTGGAGGATAGTGATCAAGCTGGAGAAAGAGAAAAGAAATGATGAGTATTTTGAACTGATCTGTTTATTACAGTTCTGATCAATCAGGTCTACTTTATGGAGTTTATGCCATCTCTTATAACTATCCAATACACTCTCATTTTCATAAAGGGAAAACAATAGTAAATACCCTTCCTTCCATATCTGCCATCTCCACAGTTCCCAAGGCCTGGAGAATACTTATACTGAATATATTTTTGTTCTGGTTTCTAGAATCACATCAATTTTTACCTACACACCCTTCAATTGCTAAATATAACAACAGCATCAATAATAAAACAACTTTTTCTTTCCATAGAAATAGATTTCCATTTGGGACCTATGTTGCTGCTGAAGCTAGATTTACATAGCTGGGAATTTGAGACTAATTCAGGTGTTGGGCATTTTTCTTTTCTCTCAGAAAAGTCATAAATTAATCAGGCATTCTTTTTTTGCAATTCATGCTTATTACTTTCTTGTTGAGAATGTTGTTCGATCTGATTGTGATGACGCCTATTGGAACCTAAATAAATTCAAGAGTAATCAACTTAGCTAAATAGTTTAATCTATAGGAAATGCATATTGTCCCCAATATGGCACAGCAATCACATCACATTAGCATATTTCCCCCTGGATTTTAGCTATTTAACAGAAAAATGTGAAGAAAGAGAGTAATAAAATGAATTGCCTAAGCTTGGTAATAGTGCTATTAACATAGTTTAATATAGCTCAGTGGAGTTTTGATTTCACATTTCATAAAGGTAATTGGAATGAATTTTTATCTTTATTGTTGTTATTTATTTTCTCAGATTTACATGTTTATTACACAGGCTTAAAGAGGACAGAGCACTGATAGTTTATTTCATTCTGGCCTTGCCTTGGCACAAAACAGGATAGAAACTCATATATGTGATTTAAGACTTTGCAGGGTATAATAGACTGCAAAAGTAATTCTCAGGAAATGGCAACTCTATGGGGCATGCAATATATTCACATATCTTTTTGCCATATTTCTAATTTCAAAGTGTAAGTATAGTGGATTACTTTGTTTTAATGATACTGCAAATGCTCAGTTCAGTGGTTAAAAGTGAGTGGCAGGTAGCACAGAACTGAAGGGCTGAATCCCCTGGTACCCTGGAACACCATGAGCTCAGGGAGTTGTAAAGCCTGCTGGGGTCATGAATCTGCAGAGGCAACCATCTCAGAAAACTCTAACAATAGGAGGAGTCCTGTCTTTCTTATAATTCCCCATAAAACCCCAAGAAGAAATGTGTATATACATAGGACACAGGAAAAAAATCTCTGCAGATGGCAAGAGAGGTTTACTAAGTCTTAAAGTTCAGAAATTGTTTTTAATTGATCATAACTTGTATGTACACTGATTATTTTGAGATAAATACATGGAAAATACATGGACGTTCCATCTTCTTACTCAGAAAATAAGGAGCTTCAGTTTGTTCAGAGTATTGTGAACAGTTTTTCTTAGATTTTTAATAAAGAGCAGAAATACATATTTTACCTGAAATTAGAATTATATAAATTCAAATTGAAAAGAGTTATTTTGGAAAAAGTGTAGTCAAGTGAATACAAAGGGTTAAAACAGTAAACAAATCCCAACCTCAAGCAACCTCAGGCCCTACTAAATAGAGACTCCGCTTGAGTGTTTGGTATTGGTTTTCCTGATGGAAGGGAAATTCACAGCGTCCAACATTGCAAGTTCCAGATGCATTTTCAATGGGAACTGCAGGCATATCAGGTGAAAAAAAATTCTCTTGTCTTTTCAGGATGAAAATAGAAATGGCTTAGATCTGTCATGGTATTTACCCTTAAGGTGATTAAATGAAAAGTGTAGACTTTAGAGAGGTGTATCAGGTAAAGATTGGTGAAAACTAATCCACAAAACCCTGATTCTCCATCCTTTTATATCTCAAGAGGTTAACCTCATGTAACTTTGCCTGCAGTGGAATTTTTTCCAATACTATACAGGACTAATTTTCTAGGTTTTCCCTTTATTAATGACTTAAAATATGCTGAAGTTACTCTGATAAAATAATTTGGCATGCTACTCCTTATGCTGGTATCTGTCAGTATCATAAACATTTGGGTTCTTTCTTTTTCAGAATGTCTGGAGCAATTTTAAAATATTTCTTTTTTTTGTGATCTGGACTCTAGGCTGTGGGGTTGATCAGACTATCATTAATCAGATAAAATATGAATGAGTTAGATATCAATCTATGTCTATAATGAACTTATAGTTGTATGCTGGATGTCCTAAAGCAGCAGCCATGTGTCCAATGTCAGAGTAACAGATGAGTAGTAACAAGCAATAAAAAAGTCATCCCTGCCAGATGTGGAGGCAGCCTCTACCTGTGTACATGGGTTGTGTCTGCAGGATATGCATTAAATTGAAAAGTCAGTTTTCATGATGAACCACTGTGACCATTTACATGGACATTACAGAATATCAAATCCTGCCAGCTGTGGTGTGATAAGGCTCCCTTTGCGTCCAGGTAGTGTTCAGGATTTGGAAAGGCCCTCTATTTCCCCATCTTGGAATAGGTTTGTTAGCAGCAACGTTTAAAAAAAAAACCCAAAATCCTTCCAGTGACCTCACCTTCCCTTGAGACTTCAACATAGCAGAGCTGAAGTCCTAAGGGATCCATCCCGGTACAGAGGCAAAAGGGATTGCAACAATGAGAGTAATGATGTGTTACACTGCAGGCTCTAACAGGAACAGACACTTTGCTGTTGAGGTTTACTTGTTTAAACAGATTTCTTATACTGCATAAAATCCTGAATCTAGCCACTCACATACATTTTTCACATCTCGTTGAAGTCAAGAAAAGATATCCCAGTGGGTTCAACTGTGGATTGTTTTAATGACTGTTTGAAGTTTTGGATTGCTCTGATTCCTAGTTAAAATAAATCTCTATTTAAAAGCTGTTGATACCAGTTTTCTGGGGCAAACATTTCTGATCAGTGGTAGAGCCAGCTCCTGCTCTGCTGCCAGCTCTGGCATCTCTTGTCAGGGGACACCTGCATTGCTTTCCACAGCTTTGAGCAGTGCCTTTCTCTAATCCTGGCACCTGGAATGAAATGATGCACCACAAGACAGTGGGTCTAGGGAACAGTGGCTGAGGGAATGGGGAGATTTCTGTCCACTTGCTTTTATTGCACACCTTTGTACTAAACTAGAATTACCTGATAAAAGAAACCATTTTTTATTTTAGAGACACTCGGCCTAGGGTTTCTTTAGAGGTCTGTGTGTTCAGGCATGATGCTCAATTCTTTCCAAAGCTGCATGTGACTGCCATCCAGTGGGGGCTCCAGTGTAAGCAGCTGGAACGGAGCAGCCTACAGCCTTTGCATGAAATACTAGCCTGCCAATCTAATAGAAAACACATAATGAAAAGGAATTACTAGTGTCAAATGATATTTGAATGATAATTTGATTTCCTTAATTAATGAAAATTAAATAGAATCTCTGTATACACAGATGTTGATGTTATGATTTTGTATTAAATTACCGTTTAAAAATTATATTTAAGATTTTTCATTACAGCTACTTTTTTTAAAAAAACTCAGTAATTTCATTTGAGCTTCATATAAACATTCAGTGTGGCTTTGAGTGTAACAGAGATGAAAGTGGGTGGCAGTTTCTGAGGAATTTGCAGTTTCAGCTCTCAAGTCACGTCACACCAAGGCAGACTGCCTTTTTCTGAAGTTGTCTGGATTTAAGCAGAAGTTCAATAAAATGCTATTTCTTTTAAATTACTGTTCACTTAGATAATAAAACTAATCTTGATGGGAGTTCTGAGATTACCAGAGATATCAATCTAAGGGCAAACGTAATGTCTGCATCACCTTAGTAGTCTTGGGGGAAAAAAAGGGTATAAACACAAACACATCTGAATCATTGTCAACCCAGCCTGTGTACTGCTGTAAAGTTAAGGCCTTTCTTTATGCTGGACAAATTTTATAAAAAAATTGTCAAAATCAGATGGAATAATAGTGCTGTAAGGCTTAATCTCATATCATCTGATGTCAATGCAGCTCTGCTGTTGAGTTCAGCAATAGCAGGGTAAAGAAGGGGATGTTACCATCAGGATCAGTGTAGTTATTTCTCTTCTGCATGATTATGATGATTTATCACTTGTGTTATCAACTTCTCTAGTCCTGAACAAGGGCTTTTTGTGCTAAGTTCTATAATAATACATAATAAAAATGTTCCTACTCAAAAATGCCTACAAAGCTAGAACAGACTTGGCATGTGACCCCAAGAAAATAACAAGGCAGTATGCAGGTGTTCGGATGGAGCTCCTCACAAGTATGATAGCAGTGTATGAGAAAGAAGAAAGTTGATTATGAAAATCAAATGGGAGACATTATGACATTCTTTTTATTGGTGTGATATTGATGATTATTCACCTGCTAAAAGGTTAGGAAAAAAACTTACCATTTTTTAATATGTTGATGTTTGATTTTATTTTTTTTTTCTCTAGTACAAGAGGAAAGGAGCAGATTGGAGTGGGGACTGTGTAATTGCTCAGGCTGATCGTGGCCACTCTCAGTGCAGTTCAGCTCCCTCCTCAGTGTGGCACTGGTGCTCCGCTGATCCGATTCTGATGGGTCAGGTCCTTGACCCAGGTTAGTGCAGATCAGATCTGAGCCCGAGCAGGGACAAGCCATGGACTGTAAATGAGGAGTGGATCCAGAGAAACAGGCAGGACCATAAACCTGCATTTTTTACTGCCTTGGACTGTCACAGACCTGCAGCCTCACTGCTCATCTGGAACACAGGAGGAGGCACACACTTCACTGGTGTGATGTAAGGCAAACTAAAGGCTGGCACTGTGCTTTGAGCTCTGCAGATGAAATTTTTACAGAGGTATAGTAAATGCTCTTTTAGGAACCACTCCTAAAAATATGTTTTGCTGGTGTAATGGACTGATTTAACCTTTAGCAGTTGTTTTTTTTTAAATAAAGGTCAAAAATACAGTA